GAACCGCAGTGACGTAGAAGACTGGGGAACCACAGTATGGAGAGGCTGGCACCCAACACACCTGGAAATGTCTAAACACTCTAGTGGCGCCTCTAGTTCTGTAAGAGAGTGAAGGGTGGATGGAACTGAGGCCTTAATTGTATTATACAAGTGTTTCCCAATGCTGTATTTAGATAAGGTTTTTGGGGATACTTACAGCAAAACTCGACTTAATGTTTAATTTAAGAGTGGTAAGGGTGTAAGAATGTCTTTATTTTCTACCTTTATCCCTGATCTGTACCCAAGTGTGGTTATGACTGTGCTGGTGAAATGTCAGATACAGAGCATGGAAGGACCAGTAATACATCGCTAGTGAAATGTCAGACACAGACCATGGAAGGACCAGTAATACAGCGATGGTGAAAGGTCAGACACAGACCATGGAAGGACCAGTAATACAGCGATGGTGAAATGTCAGACACAGACCATGGAAGGACCAGTAATACAGCGATGGTGAAATGTCAGACACAGACCATGGAAGGACCAATACAGCGATGGTGAAATGTCAGACACAGACGATGGAAGTGATGGTGGAAGGTCAGGGATACACTATAGAACGACATATAATACATCAGGCTCACTTTTTATTCAAAAATTTGTTTTGCAATGTTTTCACTTTTTACACTCTTTGCACTCTTTGCAGAATGCGGCCTTGTTTTCCTCCAGCCACGGGCGGAAAGACTTAACCTTGGGGTTAAGCTTGTGGGTCAAGGCCACGTCCCGGTCTGGTTTCATCATGTAGAACCGGAACATGTCGGCCATGTGCTTCACTTTATGGGAGACTCGCTTCTCGAAATCCTCAGGGTGGATCTGAAGGGACAAGAAAGTATTACATGATTATGAAGTCAGTGACTCTATAGAAGAAGAAGAAGGGTTATACTGGACCCGTCACACACCTTACAGGGTTATCCGCAGTTCATGCAGGGCGCTGTAGTGAATTGGTGGATTGCATCACCATGTAATCACAGGAAAATAAGGATCTTTACCAGCACCCTTTAGTATAATGATAATGTTGTCCTTTATTCACATCAAGCAATAGGCATCACAAGACAACATGTTTCAGGACCTCGCAACACAAGAAAGGCTTTGATCCCTTTCTCTGCCTTGACAAAGGGGTCCTGTGAGGTCCCAATACATCAGATTGTGATGCCTGTTGCTTGCTACTGTCTCCTCATAGAGACTTGTTTTCCTGTGTTCCCAGTCCTTGCTTCTTCCTGTGTGTCACCTATGCTGTAAGGTTGCATTACCATGGCATCATAATGTGCAGAGGGCAAGGATAAGGTGTATGTAATGTACATAGTGCAGGGGTCAGGTGTATGTAATGTACAGAGTGCAGGAGTCAGGTGTATATAATGTGCAGAGTGCAGGGTCAGGAGTATGTAATGTACATAGTGCAGGGGTCCGGTGTATGTAATGTACAGAATGCAGGGGTCAGGTGTGTGTAATGTACAGAGTGCAGGGGCAGGTGTATATAATGTACAGAGTGCAGAGGTCAGGTGTATGTAATGTACAGAGTGCATGGGGCAGGTGTATGTAATGTACAGAGTGCAGTGGTCAGGTGTATATAATGTGCAGAGTGCAGGGTCAGGTGTATGTAATGTACAGAATGCAGGGGTCAGGTGTATGTAATGTACAGAGTGCAGGGGTCAGGTGTATGTAATGTAAGAGTGCAGGGTCAGGTGTATGTAATGTACAGACTTCAGGGGTCAGCAGTCTATGAAGCCCAGGACCCATACATTCATGCACACACTGTATAAACATATACACACACATACAGTGCATACCTACATCTCTGTTCTGCTAGCAGTTTATTTCTAAGTGTATGAACCCAGACTAGGTGAACTGTAAGTACATGGCACACTATTCCACCAACAAATATGAACAAACTTTGCTGGAACAACAACAAGGACTTGGCCGAATGGCACTGGCTGGATCTTTTTGTTATGCACAGAATTGTGTTGCTGATAGTCAACACCTTGATATGTGAATGGCTGTGTTCTGCCCCCCTTACAGCCCTGCTATCCTGGGCCACTGCCTACCTTGGCTACACAGGAACTTGACCCTGACCGTCAGCACTTCAACGCACAACAATCACATAGAGACAAGAATGTGTGTCAGTCACCTCTGTTCCTTTATATCAGCTGGTGCGCAAGGGGTGCTACGACAATCATTACAGGGAAGGGTTACCATCAATGACACAGCACAGTTTGGAGCAGAGCACAGATGACCCGGAGATGTAACAAAAGGTTATTACGTAATGGATTGTGATCATCACCTTGGCATCTTTGATGGTGATTCCGGTGACCTCGGACATAATATGCGCATACTGTGCCACCGTTAACTTTTCTGCGCTGAGTCCGATATTCTTCCCGCCATAGTGAGACGGATGCTTCAGGATGGTGACAACAGCTGGACCCAAATCCTTTACTGAAATCCCGTCCAGGGGGACGTCACCCATCGGCAGGTCTAATACCAACAAACAAAAAAAGATTACTTTCGGGAGGAGTCCTTCCTTCATTTTCTCCTTTCCCTTATTATTTCCAGTACTGATATTTATAACATTATGATCATTTATAATACTGGTTACATTAGTTAGCACTCTGAATCATCAACAACAACCCTTCATTAACAAACCACCAATTGACTAATATTGCTTTCTTACAGGAGCGGTGCACCATGAAACACAGACCACGCCATTTCATATCTAAACTCACTCGCTGCTCCTCCATTATATATACTGTATGTATGATTTACCTTTGATGTCGCTTTCACACCTGTACACACCTTATGGACTACAACCAATTTTACATTTCTGCTATGGGCCTGTTTATTCAGCAATAACTGCCATTACTTAAGATAACAAAGTAATACTTTTATCATTTTTTTCCAGGATAAACAAGCCAATCTTTCATTATGCAATGAATAGACAAAAATTGTAACAAAACTAACAAAATGCATGTTTTTTTTTTTCTACTGTGGTCAGTGTTATTTAAATTTTTTTTTAGTGTAAATAAAAATGTATTTTAATTTTAAAAAATTGTTACAGTAGATAAAAAAGCTTAACATTTGTGTTATAAATTGTCCTGCTTAAAATCAAATCAAGTTTTTTTTATTTTTATTTTTTTCAAATTTGCTACACTAAAAAAAATAAAGAGCAAAAATGAATTAAATGAAAAAAAAAGTTTAAATGTTTTTAGTTAGCAAAATAAAAATACAATAAAAAAAAAAATAATAGCTAAGGGGAGAAGGGGAAGAAGAAGTTAATTAGGGTTAACTAAGGGTTGATAAGGGGTTAAATAGGAACATTTTATTTTATTTTTTTAACTTGTCAGTTGCTTTAATTGATATCACATGCAGATGGAAGCTCATCTCTTTGGCCTGCAGATGAATGAATCAGTGGATATAATGTTTATGAAATCAGAAGTCCATTTTTTGGCAGCAGCTATCATTAAGCACAGTAGGCACGGTTCTACAGGTGTTCTCCATAGAGGGGCACCGTGCAGGTACCTGCTCTGCCAAATTCCTGTTGTTGTGTCAATATACTAAACCCGCAATAGCAAGGAGGGTTCATTCTGCATAAAATGGACCTTCCTGCTCCAAGATCAGCGGCACCTACAGGAATCGCCGGCTTCTGCAAACGCAGGGGAAGGACCCAGGCGCTGCCGAGTATGCAGACAGGCGTTTAGGGCAGCCTTACACAACACCAGGGTTCTTCTCTGCAGATGTGAAAGCCAGCGGGTCCCGCAGCAGGTTAAGGCGCCAACACTCAGGCTAAATAGGTTGCCATTCGTGCCTACAGGTGGCGGAAATGGAAATCCGGCCCTGACTACTACACATGCATCTGAGCAATCTCCATTGGCCACTGCACACATGTCCTGATCTCAGGCTCCCATTGGATGAATACAATGTAGGACCACCCACTTCCTGCTGCCGCCTCCTGGAGCTTGGCGCCCCCCATAACCAGCAACCATTCTCTGCAGTATCACAGGACAGACTTGGTCCCCACTCCCACTGATCCAATGGGACCCCAATATAGAAGGGCTGCCCATACCTCCCTATTGGCGGCCCTCTATGAGCCTGAGGGTTAGAGGCACGCGGTGTGTGGATGGGAATCACAAGCAGCAGTTTTCACACAGAGCTGCTTTTCTAATGTTATGATGTGGTTATGTTTTGTGGTTATGCACAAATAGTACATTAAAGAGACTCTGTGACTTTGCCAATTAAGGGCTCAGCGGCTGTGATGGAGGAAGGAATAGCGCGGGAACACCAGCGGCATCCCGAGGCCGGGTTGCACCCGGAGCAGAGACCGGGTGACACCCCGCAGTGATGTCATCGCACATGCACGGTCATCTAATTGACGTCTGCCGGTGGTCATCTTGGTGATGGACGCCGGTGTTCTGTCAAAATGGCCAACTCGTCACGTCACATCCGTTGGAGATTTCGACGAGATGGCGCTAGTGCACATGCGCCAGCCTTGGCATTTTTTCAAGCCTCGTCGACTTGCCCAATTGCCCTAAGTGCGCCTATGCGTCTTCGCAATGCTCATCGAGTTCTCCAACTGGCATCACTGCTTGTGCCATCGGATGGCCGCGCAGGTGCACTAACGCAAATTAGAGAATGTCATACTGCTCTTAGGTGGCCGCACAGGCGCACTGATGGGAGTTGGAGATCTCGACCAGTTGGACATCTCGATAGAACACTGGCAGAGAGAGGAGGGGACGTTCACCCGGCGGGATGAGGTATGCCGCTGGATCCCCCCCTCTCTCCTGACACTGTCAGCCTCTCGGTCCATGACCGAGTGCCCGACTTTTTAGTCATTTTGGTGTCACCCCTCCAATGGTGTCACCCAGGTGCGGGCTGCACCCCCCTTGTGACGTCACTGGGGAACACTGCTAAGTGGGGATGGGCTTTAATGGCACCCTGGCTGCACAAAGTGACAGGGACTCATACCAAGTTCGCAACACCAAATATTAAATATCATTTTAAAAAATGACAAATCCCCAGCCACCTACTTAAAGCAAAGCACTTCCCGTCTTCGCATTTCTGCGGCTTAAATTCATCCAGGAAGTTCTCGTAGTAGAAGGAAAGTCTCACGCTGGTCATGTGACATCCGATGTGCCGGAAATATTCCTCCACTTCCCCTTTGCTGTCAAAATGAAAGACACCCAGTTTCCCGCCGGTCAGCTTTTTAACGTTCTCCAGGCCGCTGTAGACCACTTGCTTCAGGCCCAGGCGCTTGGCCACATCAGCAACCAATTTTCCCTAAGAGAGAAGAGGCTAAAAATAGTCCCTGGAGTCGTGGAGATGCGGAATCTTGTTTGAGATCTGCAAACTCTTACATGGGCTGCCGATGAAAAGTAATACTTTAAAGATGAACATCAGAGGATGTATTTATAAAACGTTCGCGGGGGCGTTAGTGCTGCGAAAATCTGACTTTTAGATTCATGCCGCAGTGTGGCCACTAGATGGAGCCAAGGAGACTAGGAATTTCCTATGTTCATCAGTTCCATCTAGTGGCCATAAATAGGTGTGCATGTAAAGTCAGATTTCTCGCAGAATGAACGGCTCTGCCAAACGTTTTATAAATACATTCCCATGACAATTTTTTTTTTTTTAATCACATTGGCTTAGATACCTCTCACCCTTCTGAGAATGAAAAGAGGAAAATGTTTTAGCACAGAGGATTTACACAAAGGACACACCCATGCCACTCCCGCATCCCACAGATCAAATAAAGCTGATCTCCAAGCACACAGATAGATGCACAGATTATATATGTATACACTATATTACCAAAAGTATTGGGACGCCGTCCTTTACACGCACATGAACTTTAAAGGAGAACTATGGGGTTAAGGCTTTTCCCCATAGTTCTCATTAGGGTAACAGGAGGACACAAACTAGCGTCCTCCCTTCACCCTAGGCTCAGTATACCGCGCGCTGTAGCTCGCTGGGAATTCATTGTCACCGGTCGGCTAGAACTATGAGTGAGTGAAAAGCACTCACCTCATAGTTCTCCTTTAATGGCATCCCAGTCTTAGTCTGTAGGATTCAATATTGAGTTGGCTCCGCCCTTTGCAGCTACAACAGATTCAACTCTTCTGGGAAGGTGTCCACGAGGTTTAGGAGTGTGTCTATGGGAATGTTGGACCATTTGTGAGGTCAGGTACTGATGTGGAGGAGAAGGCCGGGCTCGCAGTCTCCGCTATAATTCATCCCAAAGGCATTCTATGGGGTTGAGGTCAGGACTCTGCGCAGGCCAGTCAAGTTCCTCCACCCCAAACTCCCCCATCCATGTCTTAATGGAGCTTGCTTTGTGCAGTGGTGCGCAGTCATGTTGGAACAGGAAGGGGCCATCCCCAAACTGTTCCCATGAAGTTGGGAGCAGGAAATTGTCCAAAATGTCTTGGTATGCTGATGTCTTAAGAGTTCCCTTCACTGGAACTAAGGGGCCAAGCCCAACCCCTGGACAACAACCCCTCTCCCCCCCATGACCCCCCCTCTACCAAACTTTACACTTGGCACAATGCAGTCAGGCAAGTACCGTTCTCCTGGCAACCGCCAAACCCAGACACGTCCATCGGGTTGCCAGACAGAGAAGCGTGATTGGTCACTCCAGAGAACACGTCTCCACTTCTCTAGAGTCCAGTGGCGGCGTGCTTTACAC